CTTCTTGTTCTTCTTGTTCTTCTTGTTCTTCTTGTTCTTCTTGTTCTTCTTGTTCTTCTTGTTCTTCTTGTTCTTCTTGTTCTTCTTGTTCTTCTTGTTCTTCTTGTTCTTCTTGTTCTTCTTGTTCTTCTTGTTCTTCTTGTTCTTCTTGTTCTTCTTGTTCTTCAAGCAGGGCATGCAGTGCATTATCGCTAATTAAGCTATTCTAGGCCTAAACTTGTCTATACGTCTATTTAAGGTACTACACCTAGAACTACACCTTTTTGGTTTAACTTTACCACAGTGGCTCCAACATTTTATACAACAGGTAAAAGATTATTTGAGGMAATATCACGAATTATCAGGCCCGTAGGCATGGAGGAGTTCTSGGGGGTTCGGTCTCTACCCCCTCRCCCCATTAAGCTTAAAAGGTCCGATRTTTCTCTTTTTTATGTTTTTAATTTTAAAATTCTTTTGTTATGACCTTTCTTTGAGATTTTGTTATGGACTGCTCATTCTAGCAGAGAGCCACTATACCTGTGCACTGAACTAATTTAGTTAAAATTTAATTTAGGTCCGCATTAACAAAATAAAAAAACTTCACCCATTGATAAGGCAACCTACGGGTCTGGTACCTAACYCGCAAGTAAGATGAAACAAAGAAGATCTTACGTACAGATCATTTATCGGCCACACAATGTTATTGATCAATTTAGCWTTTTTTTCAAAATTCGGCAAAATTTTACGAAKGMSATTGCATCTATTGTCTATCATCTATTGCATGCTAGCTGACGCGCTGTCTTTGGAATTGTGCTGTTCCTTTTAATGAAGTTTCAATGACAATATTTAGCAACAAATATTTATSACTGTTTCTTTGCCTCCTTGATAGACAGTACATTAATATTTTTCTTTTAAATAATTATTGTAATCCGATTCAAGGTGTATGAATTCTCAAATCTGTTTCAGCTAGTTTTTTTATATTTTTGTCTTATTATGAGATAATTCTTACTTTTGTAGGCTGGACTACACCTGTGTTTCCAACTCCAACGTTAGGTATACATGTTATGTTCATGATCTYATTCATTTTAATTTTATTTACACTTAGTTAGTCATTATATCTGTCACTTATCTTTAACGTTACTTTGATATTTTTTTATGCAAGCACTGTACTCATTCGTTTTTTCTCCGATTCTTTGTAGACCCGAAAAACCGTTTGGGTTGCGCCTTGTCCTCTAGATTGACGTATACATACACATTACCCAATGGAACCCAACTGAAGAAMGTSATATCAGGGCAGCCCCTACAACCTCAGTATTGCCCCAGATCAGTGTCAAAGTGTATTAATGTCAGCTTTGCATTTAAACAGAATTCAAGGATATCCAACATCACTGGGGAGTACAATATAAGGAGCTGTATGAATGCATCCCTTTGTAACTCTACAGCATTGACCAGTTTGTTATATGGRTCATTTTTAAGTATTAACGTCAAAATAATCAACGAAACTCTCAAATTCAGATGCTGTGACGACAAAGATTACTGCAATACTAACGAAAAAATACTAGGTAAATCAGTTGCTTATCAGATAAAGCCCAGGGTCAAGCGGTATGGACCGGGAAAGGGGGTCTTCTATTCATGACAGGACAGCAATAGACCAATCCCGCATTCGCTTGGATGAACACGAAACAATGGCTTCATTCCGAGGCTGGAGTTTTATTTTTTGTCGAAAACTCCAGCCTCGAAATGAAGCCATTGTTTCGTGTTCATCCAAGCGAATTCGAGATTGCTCTATTGCACAATTTCGTAGCCTATTTAAGACAAATATAGATCCTTTCCAAGACTTAAGGGCTGTCATAAACAAATTCAGTAACGCTCCCGTGAAAGGTGTCAATATGGAATTATTTATTCACTTTTTATAGTCTATACTAGATAGATATTGACACTCTGTATAAGACATGGAAAGCATAGAAAGTACACCCATATTCAAAACAAATGAAAGTCAATTGCATACCCTATTCAATACGCAAAGGCCCCAAAACAAATGTATTTGGCAAATCGTCCCTGTAGAGTAAATGCAGGGGAGTACACCGACTGGGGTCAAACGCCGAAATAATAATTGTTCGAACTTATTCTGATTAACTTTCTTTCTATATTAAACATTTTGGGACAAATACTGCATTCAATTAATATTTAGTCGACTAACTCAATTTGGCACATGTGAGGTTCGAAGTATAACACAGTAGAACAATCTCAATTAAGGGGCGATCCATTAGAGTTTTCAGAAGGGGAGGGGGGATTTTAAGATTTTGATTAAAAAATACTGAACGCCACCTCCCCCTTGTTCTTCGTGTTCGTCTTATTCTTCTTGTTCTTCCTGTTCTTCTTGTTCTTCCTGTTCTTCTTGTTCCTCTTGTTCTTCTTGTTCTTCTTGTTCTTGTTCTTCTTGTTCTTCTTACCGTACGTCTCTTGCTCTACTTTAAAAAGATATATTACAGTTCATATGGAGGGCATGCAGTGTTTTATCGCTAATTATGCTAATCCTAAACTTGTACCTGAATTTCTATACGTCTATTTAAGGTACTACACCTAGAACTACACCTTTTTGGTTCAACTTTACCACAGTGACTCCACCATTTCATACAACAGGTAAAAGATTATTAGAGGCAAGATCACGAATTAACAGCCCCGTAGGCTGGAGGGGTTCGCGCCCCCCTCCCCCCAATAAGCTTAAAAGGTCCGGTGTTTCTCTTTTTGAACAATTTAGATTTTCACTATGTAATATTTCTTTCATTTATTGACTTTTTTTGCAGAAAGAAGATTATCTCTCATTTGTGGATCAGGCAGTAGATTTTTTCCTTTCGGTGGTGGAGAGTTTAGCACAGTGAAGTGCGAAAGTAGTTACCAGTCATGCGCAGGAGCACTAGTCCAAGTGAGGCATAACACACTTAATCTCAATGGAACTGGTAATTTTCTTTTTTGTATCAACACATCAATGTGTGGCCAATTGCTTGAGTATGGTAGAATGAAACTGAGAGAATCAAACATGACATTGTTGGGAGGCGATGCATCTTGCTGCAGAACAGACCGTTGCAACTTCAAATKKGTTCCAGGTRTGAATAGTAGCGTTAGTAAATGAAAAACATCCCCTATATTTCATTAATTCTAATGTGATTCAAGGTGAATTATTCTCAAGTCTGTTTCAGCTAGAGTTTTGCTTTTGAACTTCGAGTGTTTTTATACACCCTTTTAATAAGTCCCGAAGTATTGAGTTATCCGCACTTGACGTCAAATTTATTCTTTTGAATTTTTTTCAATACAAAAGTAATTGAAAAGAATAAATTTGACGTCAAGTGCGGAGAACACAATACGTTGGGACTTATTAAAAGGGTGTATAGCGATAATGCTTTTTCATTGATTATAATTCACTGTAATTTTAGGCTGGACTACTCCTGTGGTTCCAACTGGCATGACAACTCCAACTTTAGGTATACATGTTATTCTCATCACCTTATTCACTTCATTAAATACTTCCTTAGTCATTGCATCTGCCACTCCTTAACGTTACGTTGGTGAATACATGTTAAATACATTCAATATTGCTTGTATTCAAGCATTGTACTCAATGACATTGGTTTTTTCGTCGATTCGTTGTAGATCCCCAAAACCGTTTGGGTTGCGCGTTTTCCTATAGAATGACATATTCATACACATTACCCAATGGAACCCAACTGAATAAAGTCATATCAGAGCAGCCTCTACAACATCAGCAGTGCCCCAGATCAGTGGCAAAGTGCATGAATGTCAGCGTTGCATTTAAACTTAATTCAAGCATATCCAACATCACTGGGAAGTACAATATAAGGAGCTGTATGAATGCATCCCTTTGTAACTCTACAGCATTGACCAGGTTTTTGTCTGGAATATTACGTAACTTCAATATAAATACCAAAACTCTAAAATTCAGATGCTGCGACACAGACTACTGCAATTCTGACGAAAAAATACCAGGTAAATTAGTTGCTCATGAGATTAAGGCCAGGGTCAAGCGGTATGGGCTGGGAGGGTGTTATTCAAGACAGGACAGCAATTGCACATTTCGTACCCTATTTAAGACCAATATAGACCCTTTCCAAGACTTGAGGGCTGGCATAAACAAGTTCAGTAACGCCCCCGTGAAAGGTTTCAATATGGAATTATCAATTCACTTTTTATAGTCTAATAGATAGATATGTATAAGACATGGAAAACATAGAAAATGCACACGTATTCAAGACAAATGAAAGTCAATTGCATACCCTATTAAATACGCAAATGCCCCAAAACTTATTCTGATTAACTTTCTTTCTAAATTAAATCTTTTGGAACATTTTAAATACTGCATTCAATTATTATCTAGTCGACTAACACAATTTAGCACATGTGAGGTTCGAAAAAAACGAAATAAATTACACTCTTTGGTTGCAAATTTATTGCAAATCCTGGCACGTAGATCGTGCTCACCGTCTTTAAGCACATAAAATTAGATCCCACTTGGATTCTCAACCTCCCCTCCCCCCTGATAAATATTGCGCAGTTCCTTCTTACAGCTGAACTCATATATATTTATTCGATTAAGGCACTACACCAGTATTTCGAACTACTACCTACCCTGTGACTCCTCCACGTTCTACAACAGGTAAGACATCCATGTTTTCTTGGTTGGTGAGGAATAGGGGGTTTCCTGTCATTAGAGAAGACGATGTCTACCTTGGCAAATAGAACTTTAATTCTTTAAAGTACTTGAAAAAAAGTTAATATAAAAATTAGGCAACACCTAATAGCGGAGCTCCAATAGCAAAACAAAAGCTGATTGAAAGTGATTACCTATAGTACTATCTCAAAGATAGCCTTAGATAGCCTTAGAGATGCGCTGTTTCAAGGAATGTGGACATGCAAGCAAATATTCTAAACATATTTATTCATTTTAGCTTAAGAAAGAGTATGTTTATGAGAATTTATTTCGAACTCTAAATGTAATTTTGAACTCGGTGGATTTTGTTCCGTTTCACGTTATCATTCCGATAAAACGCGACAAAAGTTCGATGTTTGAACCCTACTCGAAATTCAAATCACATGTATAAATTACAAAAATATATACAGCAATATGCAGAAACTATGACTTTTTGACTCATATTTCAAGTTGAAAAAATACATCAGAAATTATGGGATATCATCGCCAATATTTTTTTCAGAAAGTACTAGTGCTAGACAACTTCAAAAAAATATTGGCGATGATATCCCATAATTTCTGATATATTTTAGCTTGGAATATGAGTCAAAATGATTAAATTTCTGCATATTGCTGTATATATCATACATATATATGAACGTAAAAAAATAGATTTTATAAGGCAAATACTAGATATTGGATCGATTTATCAAACGTCTCGCCGGTTAAGGCCTCATCAGTGAATGATAGATTTACAGCAAATAAATTATACAAGAGTCTATGTGATGGTGTCACCAAAAATAACTAATGTTTATTTGTTCTTTGATAAAGGTCCTCCTAGAAAAATTGCCCGATGCTTCCGTCATATCTATCAAACAAATCCAATGTTTATAAATGGTAATGAGGGACAGTTCTTGCAGCCATGCTCGGACGACGACGAACGCTGTGTATATCTTGAAGCAAGTTCTCGACGTCCAGTGGATGCTCTACAAAGCATAAGTAGAAAAGTCCCAAAAGAACTGAGAAATTTAACCAAAATATACAAATACATCTACCGTGGATGTATAAGTAAAGGTCTTTGTGGAGGATCCTTGTTTTGTGACTATATTAAGAAGGAGCAGAACATAAGTGGGCTGGAAAATTGTTCGTCAAATTGCTGCGATGGACACGACTACTGCAATGTTGGAGCTCCAGGTAATTCTAAAATCTTTTTGCTTTTGGTTCAGTGTGTAGCGGACTCAGAATAGAGAACTTGGAGTTACTGTGTCTTAAGGCCCTTGTCTTAAGGGGGTTGGGTGCATTTTTTAAGAGTTCGTTCGATGGATCGTTCTGAGAAAGAACGTTATGAACAAGGTTGACGGGCACAAGGCAGTATAAAGTTGCTTTTAGTTCCTAAAAATGTGAAATTTTAAAATATTAAAAAACGTTAAAATTCCATAAGAATATTTTCCAGTTCCTAAGGTACATCCAGTACTCCATTTTCGAATTCAAAGCGAATAATCGTTGACAGCAGATTCTCTTACACAAAGAAAGTGTTGTAAGTACTATAGCGCTAACAATTTACATTTTTCCCGAGTTAAGACTAACCCGTATTCCCAGAAAGCTTATACCTTAGATCTTGTTGGAATAAAGGGTTAGTCTCAACTTGGTAAAATGCAAATTTTCAAGGCTATTGTAATAACAACCTTTTTTTTTTCTAGTGCTCTCTTTTGTGTTTGGTCTTTGCGCAAGAGAATCTTTTTTTTTTTTTCAAATAAAGCGATTTTTCGCTATGAATTCGAAACCGGAGAATTCCTGTCGTAGACATGTATCGTATAGAAAATGATGTATATTGACATAATGGAATTACACCAATTCTTTTTTTTTAGTTGCTGTGTGCTCAAAACAAAAGCCATGCTTGCATCATGGCAAATGCAAGACTATGGCAAAATCCAATTATTGCGAATGTGTACCAGGTTACTCTGGAGACCGCTGTCAACATAGTGAGTATATATTCACTTCAATTTTGAAGATGGTCACTAAAAGATATCAAAGGATTTTGACCAAACTCAATACCCTTACTTTGACATTATCGATAATTTTAAGTTATTTAAGTTATATTTGTTTTGAAAAAAGTAATCAAATTATCCTAAAAAAGTACCTTTGAACAGCGTAAAAGGTACCACAAGGATGCTATTGCTTTGATAGGCGTTTCCCCCCTCGGAAGAGTTATATAGATATTCTATAGTTACAGTGTAGTTACCACTTAATACGGTCATAGTGTTAAGTAAGTTCCCGTAATTAGACCACCATACCTTGTTACTCGGCTAATACGTCCACTTGTCCGTTTGATGGCTGGATTAGCGAGGCTCTCAGTGGTCCTAAAATCATAATAACCATCTAGTAATAGCCCCTTCGAATAGATCAATCAAATGTACAAGTGTTTCCTTAATCGATAAACGTTATACTTTACTAAAAGGCCTCAGTGTGATAACTATTTTCTTTTCTTCTTACAGAATACACATCTTCTCGTATATGTGCTACGACTAGCCAGTTCATTCTAAAGCGCGGAGTAGAAATGGTGAGATTAGGAAACAAACTGAGTGTTGGTTTATGCACGGGTAGTGGCCAGTCTTGCGCAGGTGGTACTGTCCAAGTGCAGCATGACAGTACGAAATTAAATGGAACCGGTCTTGTACTTTTTTGTGTCAACACATCTCAGTGTAACAACCTGTTTGAATATGGGAAAGCTGAGCTTAAAAAAATGAGTTTGACCTTATTTGGTGGAAATGTGACGTGCTGTAGTGGAGACCTTTGCAACTATAGAGAGATCCCAGGTATGATCATCAATACTAAATAGTCTCCTTCACGGTTCCCCTCACCATTTTGAAAATTAAAACAAAACAAAACAATGCGAGGGAACAACGATTAAAAGGGCTTATCCAAGAAATGCGCGGACTATACACCCTTTTAAGTCCCGACGTACTACGTTCTCCGAACTTGACGTCAAATATATCTTTTGCATTGTAAAAATTATAAAAATAATAAATTTAACGTCAAGTGTGGAGAAAACAATAACTCGGGACTTATTACACCTGATTTCAAATGAGTGCGAACTCTGGAATTTTTTTTTGAACGCTAAACTTTCACTCGACCGTCATTCACTCGACCGCTTGGTAACTCTCGAATTTTTTTTTGAACGCTAAACTTTCACTCGACCGTCATTCACTCGACCGCTTGGTAACCAGACACACGTGTTTAGTAAGTGATGCGTGACTTTCTGTAGCGGGACTTTCGCATTTAGAATTATGGAGGAAGAAGCGGTGGTCTTTGTTCKAGATATCTGTGGTCCTTGTGTTTCACAGAACATTCTACTTCACTCAATGCAATTGAGAACAATTAGAAGACTATATCAACTAAACTTGTTTAAAAAATATTAATTTTCTATCTGGTTTGTAGTTTAAATTTGGCTTTATTAACTTGTAAACATGAAATGCATGCAAATAATACTTTGCACAATTAGGTATATCTTTGCAAGAACCATGAACTTGAGGGTGTTGTTTTCTGCATCTTGAAAAGATATTCTTATGTTGAACTAAAATACACATTTTTTCTTTTCTTTCGTTATGTACACAATTTAAAATTGTCAATAAAAAATTATCAACTTGAAGCAAGCGAAAAAATAATTGCAACACTGTTGTTTAAATTAAAGGTTGAAAACGAAGTAACTTATGTTTAAATGTAACCTTCTTTCGAAGAAGTAAATATATTCTTATTTGTATTACTGTAAAAACCCTGATTGATTGAATACAAGTTTACAATGACACTTACATGTGAGAAGTCGAGGTTTCTTCCACGCCGTGTATGTACAGCAACATAGTTGTCGAATTTTACAAACAAAAGTTTTCCCTACAAATAACGCTCTACAAGTTT